TTTCTTTTTTTTCAAGGGGGTAATTTTAAGCCTTTGGTGGTTCCGTTCTAATTGAGAAAGAAGAAGCGTTACCCATATATATAGGATTCTTTTGGGGGTTGGGCTTTTTACGGAGAGGGGGTTATGTGATACAAAAATAGTGGAGAGAGTCTGTATCTCTTTCTCTATATGGAGGGTATATAAAAAAAAAGTTTTTTTTTGTCCCACCCCCCGCACTTTCTAAAGGGGCCTTATATATATATAGATATATATATATAGAAAAACACAGAGTTTATCTCCCTGGGAAACGCACAGAGACATTTTGGTATCTCGCTTTTCAGAATAATAAAACTCTTTGTCGTTTGCGTGATTTTCTACATTCTTTGTCTTAGTAGAAATCGTGAGAAACATACACGTGTCCGTGTTTTTTTAGCTAAAAGTGGGAGAGAGGGCACAAAAATAAGAAGACTTTTTTTTACATGAAAAACCACATACATCTTTTTCTGCAAATATATATATAAAGCTATATATATATATATATATATATAAAAATATATATATTCTTTTTTATATATATATATATATATATATATATATATATATATATATATATATATATATATATATATATATATATATATATATATATATTATAACGTGGGGTAACGTGGCACCATTTGATAATAGAAGTTCAGTGCCGTATAATATGTCCACCAAAGAGAACTTGAGTATAGAGAAAAAGACAAGACATATCTAAATCTTCAATAGTAGTTTTTTTTTTTTTTTTTTTTTTTGGTAATGCAGGAACCCGCAGCCAACCATATAGGTGCACTGGGTAAACCTACACTCTCGTATAATAGCTTGCAAACCATACGAGAGATGTAAACCACACTAGGCTAACCATGTGTGACAAGCTCGACCTAGCGACCGTTGGCAAGGGGATTCGAACTTGGGTCAATTGACCCAAGCTCTCTTGCTCCAACCGCTAGGCCACCCTTGCGGGTAATCTTCAATAGTAGTTGTTTTAGCTAGTAGTGGAAAATGGGAGCGCTCGTGCAACGTCGTCAGAAGTTTCCCATCGTAGAAGCTCCGATGATCAAGTCAGTCCAGTGTTTGAAAATATATTATGTGTTTCTTGTAGAAAAAGCATTAGGGGCTTCGAGTTTTAATAAACTGCCTATTTATCCATGCATGTCGTCGTGACTTGAGATACAAGCTTCATTATAATTTTTAATTTTAATTGGATTTTAGATTAAATACGTATCCTAGCCCGTTAATAACGACAACCCGGGGCTTTTCCGCATCGCCCCGAGATATGGTCTCGTGACATCGTACGTTGCGAGATGCGGCCCACCTCTTGTCTTAGGGGTTCGCGTGCTCTTTTAACATAGTTGGGCTTCTGCTTTTGGGCCATTTTTTTTATTAGGCTACGTTCATACTGTAGGCGAAAACCCATGTCGGCAAAGTGGCCCATATCACAAACAATAATTAAATTTAATGATCAATTTATCTGATTTTTTTTTAAAGAACTACTAAAGATATTATTGTTGAAGTGGTAAAAGAGGTTTGTGAATGAAGATGATGTGGAGCCAAATAGATTGCCAGCCATAGTTCTACTAATACACTTTCGGCTCTCATTTTTCAGGACCACTTTCACCTTTTCTTGTTAACTTTGGTAGTATTTCTAAAAAGTCATGACTGAATTTAAATAAATTTTGGAATAACAGCAATTGTTTTTGCAAAATATCTCAAATGAAAAATTTAAATAAAATTAACAAAAAATAATCTACGTATACAACTTCAAATCCCAAAAAACTGATGCCGATACAAGTTTAGGTAATTAATTACATGTGTGGTCAAATTACGGCCACCCTACTAACATAACGTTAAAATTTCAAAAAAAATTCCTTGCGTATGGATATTTACAACTATCCCCTCAATTATATATTGTCTTACGAAAAACACCATTTTTAATAGATAAGTTTGACATAGTAAGAGTGGATATGTAAAACAATCCATGATTGGAGGCTGGTTGTAATTATCCAAACAAGATTATTTTTTTTTTTTACATTACCTTTGAGTGTTGGCCGTAATTTACCCTAAATACAAATATAGTGAATATTTATTAGATTGATCTAATGGAAGATAAATTAAAATCAATTACCCAAAGAGCCACCCCCCCCCCCCCCCCCCCCCCCCTCCCCCCACACATAAAAACTTGATTATAATTACCCAAAAAGATTAAAGTCATAATAATATTAATATGATGATTGATTTGATGGCTCCACATATAGCTTTACTTTATATGATCCTTAAGATTGAAGAAAATTCTCGAAATTGTATGAAATTAAAGTGAGATAGTACAAATTAAAGAAACAATTTAGAATTTTAGACAATATAAAAGTTTTATTTTAATTTGTTGTAATTATCATTAATGATGCAATTAGCAAGTCGAAGCCCATTCTGAATGGTACGGACTTCGACTAAACTAGTAAGAAAGAGTGGATCTGATCGGATTTATTAGGTGTCACAATTGTCAATAAATAACTATAAATAATAAAATAAATAAATAAAAACTGCCTTGATCGCGTCATCTTTTTTAAATCAAGAAATTCTCCTGAAAATTTCAGGAATCAAAATTAAATATTTACTATATAGTATCCCACTACATATTGTTAAATGTTATTATTAACCATTCATTTCTTGGGAGTATTTCACTAATTGAGGTATCTTATGTAACTTATTTGTTTTTTTTCAATTGTTATTTTAAATCAACAGTAAAAAAAAAAAAAAACAGTTTAAAAAAAAAAAAACTAATTGAGAACTACATCTATATATAGGTAATAAAAGTTTCAAAAAGGGGTAATTAGTTCAGTTCAATATTCAATAGTTCCATTAAGGCTAGCTATTAGCTTCATTTAGGTTAATAAAGTTCTACCAGATTTAGATTAGACCCCCCATTTAATCTCATTGATTTATATTTGACTTAAGTGGTGTTTGAAAAAGCTTTTAGAAACAACTTCTTTCAAGCTTTTTTTTACAGCATAATTTATTTTGGTGTTTGTAGAATTAACTTTTATTTTACTTAACTTAAAATAAGTTGTTTTTAGCTAGTTTTTTAGAAGCACCCTTAGACCTGTTTTTTCTATTTATGTTGATTTTCCAATATATTTGCAATTCGTAAACAACTCAATTTTTATAAATAAGCACTTAATATCCACTACTTAGAGGGTGTTTGGCTAAGCTTATAAGATGTTAAAAAGAGCTTATAAGATGTTTTAGAGCTTATAAGCTCTTCCAAAGTGTTTGGTAATTTTTTTAAAAAATATCTTAATTTTTTTTAAAATAAGCTGTTGGAGACCAAATAAGATCTTTTTAAATAAGTACATCTACCCCACATTTTTATTTAAGATCTTATAATGAGTAAAAATAGGAAATAAACTCATTATCCAAAAACTCTATAAATTAATCCTAAAAATAAGATATAACAGCTTATCAGCTCTAAAAACATCTTATCAGATGTAAGAGCTTATCAGCTGTTTAAAATAAGCTTAGCCAAACACCCTCTTAGTTGGTGTTTGCAAACGCTTTTCCAAAGTGGTTATGAGCTTTTTGTTTAAAAAAACTGATTTTGAACTAAAAAAAACTCATAATCACTTTAGAAAAGCGTTTGCAAACACCACCTTAACTCAGAATCACTAACTTCTGCTATCGAATAAACTTTTACAACTACCTTACTTTAATCAAATTTATATTAAAACATTTTTTTAGAATACACTATTATATTCTTAAAGATAAATTACGCATACCCCTTGAGATAAGTCAAATTACGAAAAAAAAAAACTTAATGTTTGGGTAATTACAACCATCCTCATCAACTATGTATTTTCTTACAAAAAACCCCATCATTTCTTAGGTAAATCAAATACCGTAAAAATAAACGTGTAAAACAAAACATAATGAAGGTGATTTTAATCACGCAAACGTAAAATAAATTTTCGCAATTTGACCTCAAGGAGTTGACCGTAATTTTGCTTATTTTTAACAAGCACAAACTAAATTGATCGAAGGGTAGGGTTTAGAGCAAGGAGAACCTCAAGATCTGGCCCGGGTCGGTGACACGTGTAAGGTTGCAATTAGTCGCAGCCATATTTATGTACAGTTTCACCGCCCATTTTGGGGATTTTCGTACAAAACTGAATTTCTAATTTTAATATGAAAGAAAAAAGAGAATCCTATAATAAATAAAATAATGCAGCTCAATCAAATTCTTCACCTGGAAGAAAATCTTCTATCACACGCGCTAAAGTCACATGCACCCCAATTTCTTCTTTATATATAAATATGGTTTAATTTTGCCACGTAAAGCACAAAAGCATAATGAAGCTTTTTTTCACTAAAACAGTGTCGAAAATGTCTTTTTCTTTAAAAGTAAGTGGCATACTATTATTTTTTAAATGGACAGTATATTGTTATTTTTTTTAAGTGATCTTTCTAACATTCGTTTAATCATCACTAAATAATATATGCAACATTAAAAAAACATCAAAATAAAAAGAATAAATAAGATGGGTTGAATTGCAATTTTCTTGCCATATATAAACGAAAAGATAGACACGAGGAAAGAGCATGTCCAGAAAATGGGAATACCAAAAATCGGAGGAAACGTGTAAATATTAAAAGTTGCTATATAAATCTATATAAGTTTTTATTAATATATAAATTATTTTTATATGTTTCCGTAAAAATATTTTTTTTTTTGAAAATCGTACAAATATATTCAAATGAGTATTATTATCAACTATTAATTTACAATTGATCTTTAAATCATGTAAATAATTATGGTAACAACAAAAATATTTGGAAAAAAAAATTGATATTCAAGCATGTTTCTAACTTTTCTGAAATTGCAAAATAACTCATAAGTTATCCATCATGACTCAGGTGTCCTCGAGTATCGGATATAGAATGCGTCCGAAACACAAATACATTAACAAGTTGAAATTTCCGTTCTGCAAAAGTTAATTTTTACGGGCTGTTGCTTAGTTTGCTTAAAAAAATTGGCCAAGTACACAAAATAAAAATAAAAATATAATAATAAAAAAAAAGGGAAAAATGCATGTGCAGCTGTGTAGTGCGTGGCAGCCACTTTTAGTGAAAGCGCGTGCCTAATTAATCAACAAAGCCGAACAATTAACAAAACCTAAACCCCCAAATTTTCTATATAAACAACCCTCAAATTCCACACTTCCACCACCACCACAATTAAAACCACCACCGTACACAATCTCCACCGCCACCATGTCAACAAACGGATACTACAACAACAACAACCACCACCCATCGCCGCCGTCTCTCCACCTTTGCTTCTTCCTCCTAATACTCACCATGTTCGTCGGAATCACCTGGTACATAAACTACGAGTCAATCTTCGAGGGGTTGTTCGACCAGATAAAGCTTCTTCTCATGGTGTCGCCGCTCCTTCTCCTCCTCGCCGTACACCTCCTCTCCACCTTCGAAACCTCCGCCTTCTTCTTCATCCCCTTGCCGGAGCAGGAATCCCTCCACCGCGCCGGCGGCACGCCGTGGGGCGTCGGCCTCCTCCTCGTGATTCTCTTCTTCATGATTTCTTACCAATCTGATTTTAGAGAGCGTTGGTTCCCTCTTCTTAGTTGATCACTCGCACCAGTCTGCGCGTGTGTGTGATTATTTGTAGATTTTGTATTAAAAAAAATTAATTAAATAAAAAAGAAAAGAAAAAAAAAGGTTTAATTTAGTAGTACGTTTTAATGTGGATATTTGGATTTTTTTTTGTTTTTAATTATTGATGATGTACTTGTGATCTGGGGTTTAATTTGTTTAGTGGAAGGTAATTAGTTGATAATGTAACTCCTAATTAAATAATGTTTCTTTAAATTAATGATGTATTATTATTTTATATTTATTCTTACACTATACTCTTGCACTATTCAAACTTCAAAAGTGGTCCTATTTATATTTTTCAAAATACCCGGAAATTAGACTAGTTTATAATAATATACAATGAACTAAAGTTTGTTTTTAACCACTAATTTTGACTTTTTGTATGGTTGAAATAGCTAGGATCACTCAAAATTAGATGTGACACAAGTATAAATTGATTTATTTAATGCTACATCAATGCTACATTCCGTGAAATATAGTGAGTAATTATACTGATCTGCATATATTTACATATAGTCATGAAAATATACTAGTCTGCTATTGAGAATTTATTTTTTCTGGTCAATGATTAGAAATCACCAAGTATATTTCACTTGCGGAGCATCTCAATTACCGTATAAAATTAAATTATGAAGAAAAAACGGATGAAAGTAGGATGTCAGTATTTAAAGTAGGAGAAAATTATAAATTTTTAATCCACAGTAATCATATTTTTATGCAATAACCTACAAATTCATCATTATATTCGTCGTATTTCACTTGAATATTTAATTTATAACACGACAAACAACTGTAATCGATGTAGTATAAGTATGTCACAAAATTATAAATTTAATATTATCATCTAACTTGGTCATTAATTAACAGGTAAAACTGAAATCCAAGTGAAATAAGACCAAAATCGTTGAAATATAGACTAAATGCCTAAAGTAACCCAATCTAGACGACCAAAATTACAAATTTTATTTTCAAAATAGTATAATACTTGGAAATAATAATATGACGATCAAGATTTCTGCACGTAATTGTTTTAATTAATTAATTTCAACAAACCATGGGCCCACTTGATAATAATACAGTTCAATTAGGGTTTATAGACCTACCTAATTGCAATATTAAATGTTAAATATCTTCTTTCGTCAAGTATATAGTGTAGTCCATATCAGTTACATCTAGGGGTGTAAACGAGCCGAGCTCGAGCCGAGCTCGCCTCTTTTGGCTGGCTCGAGCTCGAGCTCGAGTATATTTTGTCGAGCTCGAGCTCGCGAGCTCCTCTTTTTTTGGCTCGAGCTCGAGCTCGTGTCAGTTGTGTCGAGCTCGAGCCCATTGTCTTTTTTTTTTTTTTTTTAAATATTTTTTTAATTATTATTTTATTATTAAAAATTATTTAAAAAAATAAAAAATAAAAACTAAATTGTAATTATATATATTTTTAATATTTGTATTTATTTCTATAATATTTTACATTATTATACATTATTTAAATAAAAATAACATATAAAAAATAAAAAAAATAATAATAAATCCGGCTCGCGAGCCGGCTCGCGAGCTCATGAACAACTGAAAACCGGCTCGAGCTCGGCTCATCAGAAAGCTCGAGCTCGCGAGCTCGAGCTCGAGCTCGAAAATCTCGAGTTCGAGTTCGAGCTTTTTACGAGCCGGCTCTTCGAGCTCACGAGTCGGCTCGGCTCGTTTACACCCCTAGTTACATCCCGATGAAGAAATGAAATGGGCCTCTACCAATGCTACTATATTGGGCCTTCTACAAATTCAAAGCCCATTAATATTATATTTAGGTCTTGTCTGATTGAGAAAATTAATCATCATTAACTAAATAATTCAACTTTATTTCATGTTTGTCATCCCTAATAACTTGTTGGGTCGACTCACGATATTATGTTGCCCTAACTACTTGTAACTGTGTCCAAATGGGTGAAAATCGAACTAAATGGATCAGATTAGTTTTTTTTCCGGAAGAAGGAAATTATATCGTTCAAAGACTAGTATGAAATTATAATGGTAGTTGTATTATGCATTATACGATTCAGTAGGATTTAACACGACACAACAAAGCAAAACCGAGGGGAATTGGCCGATGCCCAGAGGAGGTGATAGGACTACATGGGGATACAAGCCTCATTTGTTTACTTCTTTGGATTTTGATAAAGTCGGCCCAAAATATTGAGATATGACAGGTCCAGTTATAGCAGGCCAAAGAAATAGGACTCACATGTCAATATACACAAACTGACAGTAGCTAACGAGATGACGAACTACCAACTAAAAGTAGCAAGTTCCATCGCATGACTTAGACACTATTCTAGAAATATTTTGAATTCGAAATGACCCTATTGATCGAATTGGAAAATCCAATGACATCCACAAATATCTCTACTGTAACTAGATGTTCATACCCCTGAGAAAATGACGATTCACTGTCTTCATATACACATATTGTCTTTGAATTTGAGAGATTTCTAACTTGGGCGTTAAAGTGCTAATCCGAAAGCATTGCTTACCACATTTTTACAGATCCTTAGCGTACATTGCTCAAGACGAAACAAGTTCTAAGATACGGGATCTCAAGAAGCGATCGGAGTTGCGGCATCAATATATAATATTCAAACTATATGAATTTTCAAAATTGCTTTCGAAAAATTAAAATTGATCGAATTCGAAAATCCATATGAATTAAAATATTTAAATAAAAATTAAAAAAAATCGTAATTGGAAAATGATGTGTGATTTCCATTTTGAACCCAACGCAAAAGAACCACGTGCCCAAAATCTATGTCCAAATCTTACCCATTACACGGTTTGAAGAAATCAACGTGTCCTCTTATCCCCTTTTTTCTCATTTTAAATCACACAAAATTAAATCCCTAAAAATCGAAAAAAAAATAAACAAAAAGGAAAAAAGAAAAAACAAGAAAAAAAAACACAGAGAACACGCAGTAATGGGGGTGGTGATAATCGACGGATCAACAGTCCGTTCGTTCGTGGAAGACGAGGCCCAGTTCAAGAAAAGCGCCGACGAGGCCTTCGCGGCGCTGGATCTGAACAGCGACGGCGTCCTGTCGAGATCGGAGCTCCGGCGGGCGTTCGAGTCGCTGAGGCTGATCGAGACACACTTCGGCGTGGACGTGGCGACGCCGCCGGAGGAGCTGACGAAGCTGTACGACTCGATCTTCAACCAGTTCGACTGCGACAAGAGTGGGACAGTCGACCAGATGGAGTTCACGGCTGAGCTGAAGAATATACTGCTGGCTATAGCCGATGGGCTCGGCTCGAGCCCCATTCAGATGGCTCTTGAAGACGACGATAGCGGCTTCCTCAAGAAAGCCGCTGATCTCGAGGCGTCCAAGCTTTCCGGCTAGGGGGTTTCCTCGTACCAAATCGAACTTGTTTTTGTTTTATTTTTAAATAAATTAATAATCGTTTGCTAAATTTCCATGTCTGGATCGGAACTTGTTTGGGTTTTCTGGAGGTGTGTAATGAATTTTTACTATGTGCTGTAATTTTATTCTTACCTTGTCACATATTATTGAACATACAATGGTGAAATAATAAATCAGAACAAACAAAACCGAAAACTAAGCCCATAAAAAAAAGAAATAATCGTCGCCTGAGAGATTCGAACTCTCGCGGGGAAACCCCATGTACTTAGCAGGCACACGCCTTAACCACTCGGCCAAAGCGACTTTGTTGAAATTAATGTCAGTATTATTGTAATCAACATGTATATCAAACAAGTATACCAGTGGCCCAGTAGACTACTTTACTAATCTCTGTGATTTTAACATATGAAGACAAATTTTCCCAATCGTTTTAGGGTTAATTAAGGGTTATGTAGTATAAGTCATTGATTATATCGTTTTCAATCATATCATATCGTATCAATTTCGTTCGACTATTTAATTAGCTATTTACAAAGATGTCACGTTCTTAATAGTATTTAAAATTAGAAGTATCAAAGTTCAAAACTTAATTTGCTCACATAATCTAATAATAATAATTGATGGTGTAGGATCTACACCCTCAGGACCTCCTTCCAAGCTCAACTCCCTTGAACGTCGGAAAATCCATCGAACACCAGTTCTTCGCCGGAGAAGATGAAGAGAGAGAGAGAGTGTTTGGAAGAGAGTATAAAATATTCTTTATTGATATTCAATCGTACCCTTAATCGGGTATTTACGTTCATTTATATAGAGTATTTCTATTTAGACATTTCCTAATTTAGGATCTATTTACTTGTCTAATTACATTGATTGTTCAATTACTATTCTTAATTGACATGGTTTCCTTATCTATTTATGGAGCCTATATTTTGGGTTTTCTTTACCACCCGGCTCTCATTCACCTCGTCACCTACCCCATTGATTTATCTCTAGCATGTTCGGATGGGCTGGCGAGCTCGTTAGCCGCGAGTTTCTAAAGAGATTTTGTCTTTGACGTGTATTGGGTCGGTGAGCCTTTCGACCCATACATTTAATCCTTATAATATTTAATAATCCCAATATGGGGAGTTCGGTCCAAGCTTGACAAACCGGTTCTCATCAATAAGAATAATCATCATATCATGTTTTGTAATATTTTAGCATGTTGAATATCATAATCTCTAGTAAAAACTAAAGCTACTAATTCTATTAAGAAAATAACATTTAAGTACGAATATCAACAGCACCAAATTTTAATTGCAGATATGAGTTAGGTTGAACTTTGAACCTCAACAACCGAATAATAAATTCCATGTAGTAGTAGTAGAAACTCAACAAGTGTCCCGTCCCGTCCCGTAAGGTATCTGCTAGCAGTTGAAGTAAGTGAACTGTGTCAATTGACCAAAATTCGAATTCTATTGTCAACGATCGCTACGTAAAATTTATCACACATGATTATATTAGAGTGGTTGTACGTCTCACGTATGCTCTGCAACCTGTTACACGGTTGGCTGCATGTTTCTTCATTTACTTTTCGTCTCGTATGATTTACAAGCTATTATGCAGTTGAATGCATGTTCCTTCATTAAAAAAACAAAAAAAACGAACAAGTACTTCTCATATGATTTGCAAGCCAGTATACGGTTGGTTGCGGCTTCGGTCGTAATATATATATATATATATATATTATATATATATGGTTTTTAACATTATTAATTGGTGATAATTTAGGAGTAAAACGTTGAAGGTCAAAATCAACGTCTTCCAAACGGACAGTGACTAAACGTTGGACCTAACCCCACTATAGTTATTAGCTACCTAGCTCTTCCTCAATTTTCCCCCAAATCCAATTTCCCACGTTTAAATCCCTAATCCCAGATCCCGACCCACCGCCACCGCCGCCGTCGCCGTCGCCGCCGCCGCGCCATGTCAGCCTCCCCATCCACCGCGGTTCCCCGCCTCTTCTACCACCCAGCCTATTGGTGCCACTCGTGCGACATGAGCATCGGCCTACCCCCCTCCCCCACCCCAACCGCCCTCCTCTGCCCCCACTGCCACCGCGACTCCCTCGAGCAGATGGATATGGAGGATTCCATCACCACCCCACCCTCCCCCGCCCCCAGAAACCCCTTCCCCGTCGACCACCACACCTCCGCCTCCGCCTTAACCCCGCCCGACGACAACTTCCTCCTCACCAGCCCCTACCTCAGCCGCCTCATCGATTATCTCGCCGCCACCACCTCCGCCGCCGCCGCTGCCGCCAATCCGAGATCCGACCCGGCCCCCAAATCCTCGATCGAGTCCTTGCAGGAGGTCACAATCACCGCCGACAGCGACCCCACCCTGCTCTGCCCGGTGTGCAAGGACCCGTTCGTGGCGGACTCTGTCGCGAAATTGATGCCGTGCAAGCACAGCTACCACTCCGATTGCATTGTGCCGTGGCTCGAGATCAATAATTCGTGCCCCGTGTGCCGATTCAAGCTGCCCAGGGGTGAGGCGGAGGCGGCGAATGGGGCCGCGGAGGGGTACGCGAGGTCTTTTACGCTCGAAGAATTAGTCGACGACGAGTCGGATTTGTACGGGTTTAGGAACAGCCTTAGGAATATCGCGAGGAGGCATCGGTGGAACGATGAGGGGAACATTGGAAGTGGGAGTGAGGGGAATTTGTTTTCTCCTACACAAATTGGGGAGGTGGAGAGAGGAGATGGGGTTTTAGAGAGAGAAAACAGTGTGGAGACCGTGTCGAGTTGGCCGAGGTGGCAGGTTGAAGAGAGAGGTGTCGGTGGCGGTGGCGGTGGCGGAGGTGGCAGAGGAAATGATGATATTGATGCATTTGGTAGGAGTTGATTGTGTCCTTGTGCGGTGTTGAATTGGATTCTGTTCCGTTTTTTGGCAGAACCCGAGGTATTATTCGGTTGCTCTTCTTAGTTTTTTCTTGCTTAAATTGCTTTATAATATGTTTCGTATGTTGTCGATGAATGTTTGTAGTTGTAGTTCAATATTTTTCTAGCTGAGGTGCAGTTTGAAGCCTTTTTCGACGAAATTTTCGTCTGTCGATGACAAGATTAATTTTTTTTTCTTTTGATCGATTAGAATGGTCATTGTTCTTGGTTGCAATTTTGATGTTTCAAACTAATCCGATTCTTTCTCGATTTCTTTTCTTAGTTCAGATCAACTGTCGGTAGTTGATGGAGTTGATTTCTGATGTAAAGTTTCGATTTTTGTCATGTCGGTTTTGTGGTTTTGTATATAGCCCGAGGTATATCATTTACACTTTTTTGCTAGCAAAAGCCTACAACTTTGTGGTAGCTTAGGCCTTACGGTCTTTTCACTAGTGCATCGGCACTTAAAAACAAACTTTTCTCTTTGTATTTGCACAAGCAAGAATCAATTTTGCTGCTTTAAAGAAAATCGAACGTATATCTTAGTTTACATACATGGCATAGCGTATTGGAAGCAGTTTAGGTCAAGTAACCATTTAAACTTATTCGGAATTCTGTAAAAAAAAATTGAATCTTTAAATGATTTTAGAAGAAAACCGTAGTCTCGAAATTCAGCTTTCAAATGCTTGGCCATGTACGTATATTGCCGTTGTCCTATACGACATCATCAACTACTTTTTGTCTTATAGTTTTCTTGGAAATCACCAGATTAAACTAGTTTTTGTATAATTCTTTCTTGATTTTCACGTGTTTATTGTTCATCGGTTAATGATGTCATAATTATTTACATTTTTCCAATTAATTATATTTACGTGCTGCGGCTCATGGTTGATGCTTTGCCTTAGGTTTATAGCAAATTGGTTTTTAGTTTTCGATAAAATGTATTATTATATCGGTTGTAACTTGTAAGAGTATTATACAGCTGAAGAGTCACTTCGAGTATGAATGTGGTGGTCTCTTTGCTTTGTCTTCAAAGTTCAAACTCACTTCATACTCATAGGCCTCTTCGTAAATATGCCACTCTTGTGTAATATTTACGATCGTGATTTTTTTATATACAAATACGAGAGTTTGCAAAGGCATTTATTTAGAATATTTATCTTATATTTAATGGATTTGTTTCATTTTTTGTGATCAGGTGATGTATATTTTCCTAGGACGAACTGGCCGTTTTATCGTCGGTAATGGTGCGGTTAAGTGTAATTAGCCATGAATTATTGAGCTTATGTTTATAATAATAAAAAGAAAGTGTGACGCTCTTGCCCTTCTCTTCTTTCCTTCCCTTCGGTGCTCCGTTTTTCTAGAGGAAAATGTAATCGGTGCTCGTAATTTTATTCGAAAACTTTATGTTGCAAATTTTGGTGTATAGTAAACCAAATGATTTGTTGTATCTTAAGAACTTTTCTTTGAGTTGTGATTGAAGATTGGCTTTCTTTTTTGTTATAACCAAAACAATTTGCTCGATTTGGGTTAGTAACGATTCCAATTATGGTTTATGCTTAAGCATATGAAGGATCCTAATTTTGTTTTTTGAAATGTTAACTCTCGTTTCAATTTTACTATTACCTTTTTAACTTCGAACGTTATAATGACCATTTTCTAATTTGATTTTGGCGAAATTGAAACCACGGAAATCGTAGTCTTTTAAGATAGTATTCTAATCCAAATTGAATGAGCTAGATTGGATGTCGGGTGACAAAGTTACGTATAAATGAATTACAACTTGAATTCTAGTTAACTCGGAGCATCAAAGTTGTGAATAAGTGTTTACTGATTCATCCATATATTTCTCACCCGATATCTAATCACAGTGATTCAAGTTGGAATTGAAAGCTAATTCAAAGAATTACAAATTCCGTCTTTTGAGTTTTGCTAAATTCAGCCTAGAAAAATGATCAAGATCATACTTGAAGTCGTGTCGGTATTATTAAAACTGAAACCACATTCAGCAAATCCTTTTGCTTTTGAATTTTTTAGTAATTTGAATTGCCACGTGTCCTCCTATATCTTAAAAATAATATAGAGCAATTCGGGTTGGGCCACTAGCTCAACCTGCCCGGCCCAATTCGTTTGGTAAATCAAAATTTAATTTTCTTATAAATAAAAGCCAATATTATTTTTATGAATTATGGCTCGTTCGGTTACTGCTATAAGGTTCTACTGACTAAATAGTAGGGGCTAATAGCATGTCCGGTTGGTAAGATTCACACTTTTTCAAACCCGCTACTAAATTCAAAGTCCGCTATTAAATGCTACTATTTCATTAAATTAGTAGCACCCATCCCCCTGAGATTAATTTAATAGGGGGTGACTAAAAAGGAAAAATACAATTTTATCCTTAAAATTATATTTTATTATTGTAAACTAAGTGGTTTTATGGACAATTCATATGTAATAACTGATTTTAACAAATTTAATAGAAATTTTAATCTAAGAAACCGTACATGCTACTAAATAAATAATTAATTAGTCAGTAGGAAGTTAATCCAATCTCATGTAATCCAATCTAATCAAATATAGGTAACCGAACGAGCCCTTACTCTAATAAATAATAAACATATAGTTTTACATTCCACATAATCTACAGGCCACAAATCTGAATCCTCCTAAAAATTAATAAAATAAGACCTTCACATTCACAACTTGTTTAATTATTTTTTCACTTATATTTTTCTTAAGCACAAAGTCGTGTAATAAACGTGCATAAAAGCGTCATCAGTATGACATCAGCAATGGGCTTCAGACAAAATTCCAGCCATTGTTTGTACTCACAGCTCATATATAAGTATTCATTATAGAGACACTTATTCTTAATATAATCATCTTTATTCAAAAGTGGAATGCATTTCCAATTATTTATGACAGTAATTAAGGTGCCTAATTCTGGCAATTTTGCCATTAATGGTAGTATTAGATTTATCTTGCATGTTATACTAATTATCCAATAAAATTTTATTAGTGGCAAATGGCAATCGAACCAGAAATAATAATTACACACGAACAAAACAATATGCTGATTTATCAGAAATAAATTTGAAATGTAGACCAAAATAAAAGACCTAATGAAACTTTACATGGATCTACTTTTAAAAACATTAAACATTTTTAATTAACCTTATGTTTGCTTAATAGCTATGCGGCACGGAAACACGATCTTGATAACGTTTCCGCGATTCGGGAACGTTTCGTGTCAGAAATTCGAAAACAATTGTTGGACACCTTCTGAACTATTTTACAATTTCTAAAAAGTAAGAAACATGTTCGAATAGCAAATTTTTTGTATTTCCCAAATCATTTACCTGATCTGATAATCAACTGCAAAATGATAGTTGAAACTAAAATTTATTTTGAATATGTTTGTATAAAAAGATATATAAAAAAAATTATATATGTTCAATAGAATATTTATAAATATACGCTTATACTTTTAATATTTACACGTTTCCTCCAAGTTTCCATATCCCCATTTTTAAAACATGTTGTTTCCTCGTATCTATTTCCCCATTTTTCCGTATCGCCGTTTCCGTTTCCGTGCTACGTAAGGGACACTAGTTAACTACGAGTAAAAATAAGTATTTTCCTTGGCTAAAAAGTTCTTTACTTTATCACTATCATTTCCAAAATTAAATCACTCATAAGTATATTATGACGATTTCACCATGTGTTTAATTTCTAAAACCACAATCATAAACATAGAAATTTGCTATCTCCCCTCCAAGTAATGTATCAAACGATTTGGTTTAATGACTGTAATTTAAAATTTAACAAACGTCAATTGATCCAAATTTGAATCGGCCGCTTGTCAACGGCCCCTAGATGTAGCTTGTCACACATAGTCAGCCTTAGTGCGGTTTACGTCTCTCGTATAGTTTGCGTACTATTATACGAGAGTGTAAGATTATCAGTGCACTTATATGGTTGGTCGCTGCTCATTACAAAAAAAAATGAAAAAGAAATATACAACCGACAGTACACAGTTTCAAGTAATAACTCCCCAAACAAGGCTTAAAACCATTCATTAATTCTTAAACAAAGACCCTAGATCGATGGGATTATAACTAAAGTCGTTAATTAACAAAAAAATAATCACAATTTGACAAAATTTAATCTATAGTTTCCCTTGTCACCCGCCGCCCAACACAACACAAATGAGAAAAAAACCCACAAATATTCTACACGTTACAATGTGAACAAGAACGTGTAAACGACGACTTTATGCTCTCAACCAACATTTTTTTATATTATAAAATAAATCAATTAAATAAATATAAATATTAATAATAATAACAGCAATAAATTCTTGATAATCAAGTCAATGACTAAATTATGAACAACAACTGCAAACTGAGAATAAGATTAGTGGGATGACAGCAATACAAACAAGTTGTAAGTATATATATAATAATATATTATATATACTTAATTGACAAAAATTGACTTTTTATGAAACAGATGATCAGATGGTTCATGATCCTTGTAAGTTTTTGTAATAATATATAAATTAATTATTACATGGTTAATTATCCATGTATGTATGAGTTGGAATTTAATAAATAATTAAATATATACCTACATAGTATTACTCCTAATACACATCAAAGGTGGAAATTGTATTAAATAAATTATTTTTTTATATTAATTTTCTCATGACGTCCCTATCATGGGCATGTACGGGGATGTACATCAATTAATTCAGACAAGCATCTACCTAATCATCACTCCCAAAAGACACAATTTTTGTGCTTGTGTGTTTTTTATTATTTTTTATTTTTTTATTTTTGTCTTTCTCTAATTAAGTTAGACTTTATGTTGCTTGTCTAACATATACATAAATATCTAACTCTCAATCTTCATCAGCAACATCCACAAGCAATTCCAATCTCTCTCTCTCTCTCTCTCTCTCTCTCTCTCTCTCTCTCTCTCTCTCTCTCTCTCTCTCTCTCTCTCTCTCTCTCTCTCTCTCTCTCTCTCTCTCTCTCTCTCTCTCTCTCTCTCTCTCTCTCTCTCGTGAGAAGATCGAACGACGACGACCGATGAAGCATCAGTACTCATTCGATGCAACCAGCTTAGTTCCATCGAAGTTTGTGGTGAACGAATACTCGCGCACGATCGCCAAAGTGAAGCCGAAGATTCGCATAATTCACATAGTTGCACCGGAAATCATAAAGACCGACGTCCAAAATTTCAGGGAGCTCGTGCAGAAACTAACCGGTAAACCAGCAGAAGCAAAAGAAAGCAGAAAAGGCAAGGAGAATAATAATAATCATAATCATAATGCAGCTTCAATAATATCTCGAGTCTTGCCTCCGAAGCTACCTTGTCTACCGATCATACCGCAAGAAAATATGCAAAGATCGACGAAGGAGGAGATTGAAGAAATGTACAACGACGAAGAGAATCCGAACGCGTTCTTGAGTTATTTGGGAGACGACGACGATGAACAAGACGGATTCAATGTTCCGTACATGAATGGAATTCCTATGATCAGGTCGTCTACATTTGGCGAGGTGCATTTCTGCTGATTTGCGCGGGCGTACCATTTTTGTTGGCGTTTGATCGATCGTGCTACTTCTTACAACTTACTTAGTTTGCGTGAAAGAATTTTTACAAAACGTTGTTCGTTTTAATTAGTTTGTTTTCCCCTCGGAAGATCGAGGAGATTACTACTAATTAAGGTCAGATTGATATGCTTTTGATGAGTGGTGGCTGAATTTGGAGTTCAACGGAAACCCACGTTTCGCTTTTTTGTTTTGGAGTTTGCGATGATGATTGCTCGATCCAAGAAAAAGAATATATATGTACGCACGTATGTATATATATATACAAGTTATCTCAGTCGGTAGAATCGGAGTTAGAAAAGAAAAGGGATAAAAAATCCTATGATGATCAAGAAGAATATTTTTGCTGTCGGGAGATGGTAACAGATTCGGATTCTCATACCGTAACATGAAGTCGTAACAGATTAATTGGTTTTGTTTTTGGTGTATATTTGGGATGTTTATTTAATTTATTGGTGATATATAATACTCAATTCTGTTTAGAACAACAGCAGGGAGTAGTGTTAGAATCTTTTTGATGTGATGTGATTCGTTGATTGATCAACCGAAACAAAAGAGGATCGAATCTCCTCCCATTTGTACACACTGTATATCGATTTTCGTTTCCCGGTTGTTTGCTGTAATTAATTACACAGATTGAAAAATGTCCGTTGGCTTGAAACAATCTCTTTCTCTATCTCTCCCTCCCTCCTGCAAATGGCACTGTGAATCTTAAATCTTATGTCTTGAACACAGTGTTCCATCCCTTATTGCATTTACATCAGCTATATATATATATATATATATATATATATATATATATATATATATATATATATATATATATATACCATTTTATATAGGTGAAACAAAATACAGAATGTAATACCATTGGAAACTGAATACATTTATAATTAGGAGAGATAATCAAGTTATTGAAGAACTGTTTGGCCTCTGGAATAAGTGAACATAATAAGTTACAGTTACATTACAATGAAAATAATATATGAGAAAATTAAAATTGTAATCATCCAAAATACATTAATGTGATAATATACAGCCTTGAGAATAATTAAAAAAAAAAAAAAAAAAAACCATGGCTTCAGTATCAGATGTCTCTATTTCTTCAGCACTTTCCCTTTTCTCTTTATTCGGTGTGTGTGATGTGACGATCAACCAAAACTGAAGAACCAAAGCGTACGCTAAAATTCGACTTGCGCGGTTACAGGTAGTATGTACCTGACAAAAATTTGAGTAAAATCTCCGAGTAATAAGATCGATATTGTGCATGAAGAATAAGGTTGTATCAGTCGGTTTAGTTCAAAGCAGAAGTCTGCCACTAAATGTTACTAACCGATAAAATTAGTACCTACCCATGCGCGCGACTGAATTTTGTAGGAAGATACTTAAAAAGCAAAAATTACGATTTTACCCGGAAAAGAAAATGCTATTGATAAATGAGTATTGCCTTTTCCACATAGAGAATAATAATGCACAAGGGGTATATACCGTATATCCCTAGCCACCGATATGAATCATTGGTCTGTTTGGAGTCTTTGCAATGTCGAACATCCCAGCATGAGACGCTTTCTTTCTTTTGACCTGGTTTTATTGGCAATAAATGTTTACAGTTGTAAGATTCCTACGTAGAGCTACACAAATATCCAAAGTGATAATTCTCGGAATTGTTAAATATAACTCATCCGCCTGTATCATCAAAAGGCTGTAAAAAACTGGCGTTTGAAACTGTATTATTAAGAAAATAAGAGCTACGTTGTACGTACCGCTGCTCCAATAATCTCCCTAAGCTCGTTGTCATCAGCACCACTGCGCAGCGGGTCCCTCAAGCTAACCTGAAATGAAAAAAACCGTCTCCCCACGAGAATGAGATAAAAAATTTGATTTTAAGTCTAAAATTCTTGACGTATTAAATCTCTAAGGTGATGCGACATTTTTACAGTTGAAGAAAGTACACGAGACAATAGAGGAATTTGTGGAAGTTGCAACATAGAAAAGAAGACATTAGTAATTTAAATTTTTCATTTTTGATATATTCAAAAGAATAAAAGGTAATATTAAAAATAAGCCAAAACAATAAAAATATAGTGTAAAAGGGCTACTGTATTTAAGACAGAAGCACATGATGGTTTTTTAGATTAAAATACACACACACACACACACATATATCATGTATGTTAGCCTGATTTGATAACAACGAAATAAACAAATATTTTCACCAGTTATTGCAACATAAGAAATTTGAGCTTCGACTAATTTTTGAATAAAATAGAAACCTGAAATACAAAGGGATGAAATAAAAACAACGATCAGGCAAACATAACCTTGCATAAATGACTAGCCTAGAAGTGGACAAATACTTCTAAATCAATCGGAAACTTTAAAATAGTATCGGAAAAAAAAGGTAATATAAAATCAATCGGAAACTTTAAAATTGTCGGTGAGTGAGTAGAAGATGGTTTACCTCTGACGGACCGAAGAGGCAAACCTTAAAGTTCCCGTCAGCAAGAAGTCTCAATCTATTACAACCAGCACAAAAATGCTCTGTCATCGATGTAATGAAAGAAACTGTACCGCGATGCCCATCGATCCTAAAATTCTTAGCTGTCTCTGTGGGATCATCCTTAATCCTTTCAAGTCCTGTAAATTGTTTAACCTGCTCAGTAAGATTGAGAATTGAGAAACTCAGGGGAATGTATATATATATATATATATATATATATATATATATATATATATATATATATATATATATATATATATATATATATATATATATATATATATATATATATATAAAAATATAAATATTGGGAATACAGAATTCTACCTTACCACAATATCCATCATTTCAGAGTAAGGTACGAGTTTCTTTACTTTCCAGACATTCCCATCAAAAGGCATGAACTCAATAAATCGTATATTGATCGGCTTCTCACGTGTTAGCTCAACAAAATCGCATATTTCATCGTCATTGAATCCGCGCATTACAACACAATTTACCTGACACAAGTTAAATCCAAGAACATATACTTCATTTTCTCTCTCATAAAAAAATTCTCGACAGTAAAGGAGAAGTAATCAATGCTAACATAAGACATTGGTAAGAAAAACATACTTTGACGGGATTATACCCGAGCTCTATAGCAGCATCAATGGCTTTCATAACTCTGTCGTGCCCTTTTCGCCTGCTCATAAATTCAAATTTTGCAGGAACCAACGTGTCTAAACTTATATTCAACAAACTGAGCCCGCATTCTTTTAACCTCGGAAGTTTATTCGCAAGGGTGATTCCATTAGTAGTCATCGCAAGTGTCTTCAATCCACTCAAACTCGACAGCTGCAAGCAAATTTCTTCGATATCTTTCCTAATAGTTGGCTCACCACCAGTGAGACGGATTTTGCTAACGCCAGAACTGACAAACAGATTTGCCAGTCGAACAATCTCGTTTGGTGTTAGAAGTTGAGGAGTGGGAGTAAGCTCTACGCCTTCAGCGGGCATACAGTACTGGCACCGCAAATTACAGCGTTCAGACAGTGAAATCCTCAAATATGTATGTTGCCTACCGAACGAATCGGACAACATATTGGAAACGGGATTGTCTTTATGTGCGTCCGCTGGATATTTTTCACATGAAGTAGTGTACTTCTTCGATCCATTACTGGTTTCGTGTAGAATGAGAGATGTGACTCTGCAATTAGCCTGAAAATTAAATTAGATTTTGTCATTAGCGAACTACGACTTAAAACTAATTTCGCGGGCTTCGATTTTCAACATGTGATTATGAAAAATTGATACAATAACATTCTGATCTGAATTCGATTAGAACAACTATTATCACTCTCTGCATAACATATACTTGTACTTCATTTTCAAATCTAATGAAGAACAAACGGTTTCGACTCAGAAAAGCAGCGAATCGAGACCCAAAGCATGCTTTTGGGAAGCATGAATCGTGAATACAGATTGATAAATCGTGATTACAGATTGAGTTGAACAAATTCCTAAAAAATATAATTAAGAAATTACGAGAAAAAAAAAAAACGTACCGAACTGAAATTCCTCAGACGCGAATGCCATTTGGCAATACTGGATATGCAGGGGCGCATGGTGCCAAATTTTTTCTCCGTGAATTGTTGTTCCAAAAGAGAATTGGATGCTGAATTTGTATCTGCAAAAATGGTGAATTGGAATAAACGATGCTGAGAGAAACAAAAAAAAATAAGGATTCGAATTGATTTCCGAACCAAGGGTTTTGGGTCTGACGGTGTGAAATTAAGACGAGAACGCAAAAATGGGATGGCGGCCGGAGATAGTATTTTGTACTGTTACACCGCTGGAGAGAGAAAATGGGACCACCGGTCAACCGCCACGTAGAAGTAGAAGGAGAGCTATGGCTTCTGTATTGAGCCAAAGGTCAACCAACACTAGAGTCGCTAATCCACATTTTATAATTGAAGAATTAAATTGGGATTGGAATATCCAATTTATCCCAATTTCAATCCGAAAATTCCAATTCTTTATACCTAAAAAAAATTATTCTAATGTCAATAATATTTTGGAATATATATTTTTCACACGGTTGTCAGAACCGGACCGGGCGGTCCGACCGCGACCCGCCATATATCCGGTCTGGTTCAACATCAAAACCCAGAAAAATTTAAAAACAAACCGGAGTTATTCGACAAAAACGCCGGTTCAACCGGAAACCGGTAGAGACCCCGGTTTTCGTCGGAAATGCCTTGTTCGTGTTCACGGACGGCCGGATCTGGACGGATCGAACCAATTAGGGTAATGGGCAGCGGAATCCGAGTGCTAGGTCGACGGAAATGGAGGTTAAATGGTCTGAATATGGAGATAAAATAAGAAGAAAAAGGAGTTGAAGAGAGAGAAAGTGGGTTCATGTAGGAGGAAGAGAGAGAGAGGGTCGTAAAGGTAGAGAGAGAGAGTGGGGAGGGAGATGAAGAAAGGCATATGTAACTAAAATAAAGAAAAGGGATAATTAGCAATACCCCCCTCATCTAGGTAAATGAGTTAAGAAAAACCCCCCTCCCAAAAATAATTAGAGAAAACCCCCTTACCTAATATTCTACCCAAATATTATTTAATAATTCCCAAACCACCCTCTCACTCTTATCTCTTCTCTCTCTTTCTCTCTCTCTCCTCTTTCTCTCGCACACATAAAAACACACACACACACACAAATTAGCGAGAAATCTCAACAGGAGAAAGCTCGCTCTTCGTCCGCTTCTTCCCTCCGAAGAACGGCTGGTTCAGGACGACTCCGGCGACTCTCATCGGCGGCGGCTTCATCTCCATCATCCGGAGCGCGGTGTTGAACACGATGTTGGCGCCGCAGCTCACGCCGTACAGGTAGCACCGATCTAGGTCGCCGTGGTCGCGGATCCACTTGTCGCCGCGGTCGGCGGCCTGGCTCTTCACCCACAGGACGGCGTCCATCGCGTCGTCGTACTGCGATGGGAGGCGGCTCTTCGGCGCGATCCGGAACTCGACGGAGACGACGATGGCGGAGACGTCGACGGAGAGGCGGTTGCAGGTCTCGTGGTTCAAGGCGTCGGAGATGGTCATCTGGATCCAGCCGCCGGCGTGGAAGAAGAGTAATCCGACGTCGTTTTATATTACGATTTTTATGAGGCTTTAATTAGTTATAGTGGGCTGTGTCAACTTAAATCTTTAACCATATATATGGAACTTAAACCTAAATCGACTATGTACATGTTCATAGTCGATTAAGCTAATCGACTATGTTCTGGTATTCGATTAGGGTTGATCGACTCCAGTTTTTTTTATTTTTTTTTGGATTTCTTGTTTATTGTTTCAATTGTATAAATCATTTATAACGTTTGTATATATTTTTTTCTTTCTAAAATATAGTTGATTTTGCATTTTTTCGCAGTTGTAATTTGTTATGTTTAGTAGCAGATTCTTAATCGACTATGCTTCATCATAGTCGATTAATACACCTGATATAGAAAAAAAAATTAAAAAAACAAAAAAAAATTAAATAATTAAATAATTTCCTTAATCGACTATGAAGCATAGTCGATTAAGGCTTAATCGACTATGCTTCATAGTCGATTAAGAAAAAAAAACGGAAAAAAAAAAAAAAAAAAAAAAAAAATTGCTGAGCGTGACCCAGTGATGATGTGGCGGATGGGGACAAAGCTGGAAAGCATAATGGCTGAAAATGGGTGTGGACTTTTCTCAAATGGACTAAAATATTTTGGGCCTCCCTCAATTAAAAATAATAATGAGGGGGTTTTCTCAAAGAGCCCCTAAAGAAAAACAATATAGGTGGATATTAAATAACTAAATAAAAAAAATATTAATTAGTTAATTAAATAAAAATATGAACGTGAACAAATTAAATGGGATGGATAGTGAAAAACTTGAGTAAAAATATATATTAAAAGAATAGCAAATAGTATTTCCATAATATTAAAATTAACAAAATAATTAGAAATTAAAAAAGTTAAAAAACTCGGGTCGAACCTGGTTGAACTGGTCCAACCGTAACCCGAATACTTATTCGGTTTTATGTCCGGTCCAGTTCTGAAACCACTGATTTTTTATATTAATTTCCCAAAATGTTATCAGAATGGAATTGGTATTAGTATTTTAGTTTCGTAAAAGAGATGGATCTTTTCTGAAAGTGTTAGTTATCGATCTCTATTTACTATATAATTCATAGTAAATCCCCTGTTTCGTTTCAAATTAAGTACACCCTTTGTCCCATATTATTTATTATTTTAGATTTTAAATAAACTATTAATTGCATTATTTTTAATTTTACTCTTTACCACTCATAATTAATTAGTTATAAGACAATTAATATCAATGATATTTAAGTAATTTTCTATACTTTTAACTATAATATATTTACATTTATTGATTTTCTTAAGACGTGCGCAACAACCAAAGCTTCATTTGAATTGGGACGGAGGGAGTATCGTTCAGGTTAACGTACATGTATTTAGAAAATTAATAAATTACAAATATGCTAAAATACTAATATAATGTCAAACGTATTTTTATGGGTCTAATCCTAATAAAAGTCAAAAGATAATGATATAAGTTTACGTTGGCCCAAAACCATTACTTTGGTAGTTAAACTTACGATATATCGCGTTACATAATGGGAGAGAGTTCGGACCAAAATAATACAATTCGCCCTTCAGTATCAGTTATAAAGATTGTTAAATATCATGATATCGTATCATATCGCCATATCGCGATACAATACAAAATTTACGATATGAGTCCAATATAAAAAAATAAAAAATAAAGACGAAAATGAAACTAAATATTCAGATGGAGGCCCAGGTAAACGACTCTAAACAAAACTCTTCAAATTCTCAACGCTAATTCACATTTCTCTCTTCAATTTCTCCAAGAATTCTCCCAATATCGCAATCTAAATTCAAATTTCTATAGATTCTTGTAATTTAAGTGCGATTCCGACCGGGGTTTGTACAATTTGTATGGGTTCATGATTTACAACCCTATTTTTATTTTTTTTAAACATATATAGGTCCAAGAAATTTAAATGACGAGTTCAATATTAATAAGAGAAGAAAGGGAAAAATCAAAATTGGAGGCAATGAAGTTGAAGGTTGGAAACAATTAAATACGTTTTAGTTCAGGTAAAGTATTAAGATATAAATTTTGATAATTGATACCTTTGTATTTTATAATATATATGTTAGGTTGATTTCCACCAAATGCGTATATCTTATATATAAAAGAAAGAAACGCTAGGGCAACCCTAAGAAATCCTAATGTCATATTTGTAAAATTGTTATCAAATTTGTCTTTTAAATATTATTTTAAAATATTATTTTCGATTTGAACCAGATTTTTATCTCCCAAATATTATTTTTGATTTTAATCAAATTTTTATCTCCTAAATATTATTTTCGATTTTTATCAAATTTTTTTCTAAATATTATTTCAATTATTATTTTTGAATTTTATTAAATTTATATCTCCTAAATTTAATTTTAAATATTATTTTCAATTTTTAGCAGATTTTTATCTCCTAAATATTATTATCGATTTTTATCTCCTAAATATTATTTTAAATATTATTTTCTATTTCTATCAATTTTTTATCTCCGAATTATTATTTTAAATATTTTTTTCGAATTTGATCAAATTTATATCTCCTAAATATTATTTTAAATATTGTTTTCGAGTTTTATAAAAAAATTATCTCCTAAATATTATTTTTTGATTTTCATCATATTTTTGTCTCCTAAATATTATTTTCGATTTTTGTCAAATTTTTATCTCCTAAATATTATTTTAAATATTAATTTCAATTTTGATCAAATTTTTATCTCCTAAATATTATTTTAAATAATATTTTTTATTTTTATCGGATTTTTATCTCCTAAATATTATTTTTAATTTTATCAGATTTTTATCTCCTAAATATTATTTAAAACATGATTTTTTTATTTTTATCATATTTTTATCTCATAAATATTATTTTAAATATTGTTTTCGAATTTGATCAAATTTATATATCCTAAATATTATTTTCCGATTTTTTATCAGAATTTTGTCTCCTAAATATTATTTTCGATTTTTATCAAATTGTTATCTCCTAAATATTATTTTAAATATTATTTTCGATTGTGACCAAATTTTTATCTCCTAAATATTATTTTAAATAATATTTTTGATTTTTATCATTTTTTATCTCCTAAATATTATTGTAATTATTATTTTCGTATTTTATCAACTTTTATCTCATTAACATTATTTTAAATATTATTTTCGATTTTTATCAAGTTTTTATCTCTTAAATATTATTTTAAATATTATTTTCGATTTTTATCAGATTTTATCTCCTAAATATTACTTTTCGATTTTTATCAAATTTTTATCTCCTAAGTATTATTTTAAATATTATTTTCGATTTTCATCAAATTTTTATCTCCTAAATATTGTTTTCGATTTTTATCTCCTAAATATTATTTTCGATTTTTATCATTTTCTTATGCCCGAACCAGCCCAATCACTCCTATTTTCAACCATAAATATCTCTAACGCATAAACAATTAAATCTCTTAAATATTATTTTATCTCCTAATTTTCAGCCATAAACATCTCAACACTAAATATTATTTTTTTAATGATAAAATACTAATTATCATATTCCCAAAGATTGAAGATTCCCTTAAGACTCTCAACACTTTCAACTTCTCTCTACCACTTCAACACGTTTGTGTTTTCTCTTCTTATTTATATCCCACCTCTCAATTTCTCCACCCCAATTTTATCACTCCCCGTTTCTACAATATGTTTGTGGCTTCATACAAGGTTAGCTATTTTGAAATTTGTTTTCTCTTCATAGTTCATAATAAATCTAATTTTCGATTTTTACAAAAAATGGTAAATAAATCTGATTTTCATCCCTATCGAATTTTGTGACATCGTTCTACAGAATTTTTGCAACATTTGAATTTTATTTCTTCATCCTACCTAAGGCTTCTTCTTTTGGTAACCCGACTTTAGAATTTTTGGCATCCTATTGACTATGTGGTAATTAATTTGCATCTTTTTCCATCATGGCTTATAGGTAATTTCATTTTGTTAAATTATGTGTTTCATTAATTTATACCAAAGATTTCAAATTTTGTGTATAACAATTATTTCCTTTTAGATGTTATTGGACATGTTATTGAAAGGGATTATTGGAGATAACTAAGCAAAAATGGGCGGAGCCACAAGCTATTGGAAGTCGACCTTCAAGACTTATTGTTTGTATGCGATATTTAATTTATTGTTTATATTTATTTTTGTATCTTAATTTTCCAATTGTTAATTACAGTGGTAGAAGGGCTTAATTACGATGCAAGATGTATTAATGACATTTTACGTTGGTATGTTGTCGATAATTTAGTTTTGATTAACTTAACTAAGTTATTAAATCTAATTACTTTTAAGTTCAACATGAAAGACATAGTTGATGATTTTGTTCCTGATTCAATTTTTCAATCGATTCAATTCATTTGGAAAATATTCAATAGGAAAGTTATTCGTTTTTTTTTTTTTTTTTTTTATAGTATACTTACTAATGTTCCACTGATGAAACAAATGATTATAACATAATTTGGATCATACGATGCATCAAACATTTATTTATACTCTTACAACATCAAAACAATGCAATTTGTTGTCCCGTGCATCGTACGGGTACAATTACTAGTATTATATATATAATCATGCATGATGCATGCATGACTTTCTGTTAACATTGACGTGATTAGGGGTGGAAATCGGACGGATCGGATCGGATTTGGGTGTTTCGGAAAATTTCCGATTTTTTTCGGAAGTCCAAAACGCCTTCCAATTCCGATTCCGATTTTTTTGGAATTCAAAAATTGATTCCGATTCCGATTTTTTCGGAATTTTCGGAAAATCGGAATTTTTCGGAAATCTTCATTTTCGGAAATTTTCCGGAATTTTTCCAAAAAAAAAAAAATTGAGTTTTGACTTTTGTATGTTTTAGAAAATTAAAAAATAATAATATGTCCAAATATATATATATATAATAATTG